GCCCCAGCCCCACAGGAACCAAGCCACACGCCCCCAGCATCACGGGGAGATGGAGCAGTGCACAGCCCCAGCATCCCCAGCCCCAGAGCACAGGGAGGGAGGGCACTTGGGAGCAGCAACGCTCCACCCCCAGTACGTTGACAGTCAGCCCAGGCTGGCGGTTTGGGGAGGCAACGCCTCCCCCTGCCTAGCATACCCACTGCACATGCCCACCTCTTCTTAGTACCAAGGCCATGCCTAACCCTAAGGTGATCTGTTCTCTTGCTGGCTATGCTGCCTCCTTCTGTGTGGCCTTGGGGAATTCACTGAACTGTCTGTTGCTGGCTGCGCTGCTTCTGTGGGGCCTTTGGGAAATCACAAAACTGCTCCATGCCTCAGTTTCCCCATCTGTAAAATGGGGTCACTTTCCCCACCTTTCCAAAGCACTCTGTGCTCTTTGGATGCAAAGCCCCAGGGGAGTGCCAAAGAAGGTGAACTCCAGAGAAAACACATTCATAAGAGTGGAAGTTGTGTGCAGATGTAACCCACACACCTGGGGTGGGTCACTGTCCCATGCAGTGGCAAGAGATAAGAAGAAGGAAGCTCTACAGCCCAACCGGGAGCCAGCTGGCTTTATCACGTTGGCTGTGTCTACATTGGCACCCTTTTCCGGATGCTAATGAGACCAGTTGGAATTGCAAATGCCGTGGGGGATTTAAATATCCCCTGCTGCATTTGCATGAACATGGCTGCTGCTTTTTTCCGGCTCGGGGCTTTGCCGGAGAAAAGCACCAGTCTAGACGGGATCTTTCAGAAAACAAAGCCTTTTCCGGAAGATCCCTTATTCCTCTTAAAATCAGGAAAGTCCTACACTAAGCCCCAGGGGTCCTAGGTTCAAATTTGCCCGGTGGTGGTTGCCCAGAGGGACCCCAGCGAGCAAGAGTCTCATCCAAATGCTCAGGGGCTGACCGTTTGTCATTTTTAGGAAGGGTTCCCCGACCCGTCACTCTCCGGGTTGAACTCACGCACAGGGGGGATTCTTTGCATGTTGAAGTCTTCAGAGCAAGATTTAAGGACTTCAGAGGTGATAACCCTGCTACAGACATGGGTGGGGGAGGGTTAGAGGCCTCCGAAGTGCAGACTGGATTATCGTGAGGGTCCATTCTGACCTTAAAGTCTCAGTCTATGAGGAGAACGTATCACTGCGGCACTCCACAAAGCACTGAAATACACAGAACGGAGGTCGTTGTGTTCCTATGTTTGGATGGAGGATTAGAACCCTTTCCTTGCTGCGTAACAAAGGGAAATGGCCAATTCTTCTGCAGAAGAAAGTCAGCTAACCATGTTCTAACCTGCTGCTCTCTTTGCAGACTTCAACGTGGAATACAGAAAAATTAATCGGCTGCTTGAACTGCTGAAAAAAATGTGACTTTTCAAAGGAGGCAATGACAATTCTCATTAATGAAACCTTTCTTTTAGTGAGCTTTTGTACAGACTTTTTTTCCTTTCATTTTGTGGGGGTGTTAATTGAGCTATTTCAATGTCTCTCACTGAAGTATGAGTAAAGTGGGAATTTAAAATACAGTGATTGTAGCATTAATTAATTGAAGCGGGAAATACAGATGAAATGTGCTGTCATGCGGTGCCTTAAGTGTTATAGCAAAACTTAGGGTATGTCTACACTACAAAGTTAATTCGAACTAGCAGCCATTAGTTTGAATTAACTTTCATAGGCACTACACATACAAACCACTAGTTCGAATTTATATCGAACTAGCGGAGCGCCTAATTCGAACTAGGTAAACCTCATTCTACGAGGACTAACGCCTAGTTCGAATTAAGTAGTTCGAATTAAGGGCTGTGTACCCACTTAATTCGAATTAGTGGGAGGCTAGCCCTTTTCAGGTTGCCTTGGTGGCCATTCTGGCCCAAACCAGGGAAACTTTTCTGCCCCCCTCCTGGCCCCAGAGCCCTTAAAGGGGCACAGTCTGGCTACACTGCTTGTGCCAGTTGCAAGCCTGCCAGCACCCAGCCAGCAGACTCTGCACCTGGCACGGCTCCCGCCCAC